GGGGCCCTCCTGCAGGCGCTGGATCTGAGGTGGGCGCCAGGCATTGGCATGGGACAAGGGACAAGTGGGTGGACGGAGGGCAGCCAGGGGGAGGGTGACCTCCTACCTATTCCATGAACCTCGCAGGGACCCCCAGTTCTCAGCCACCCCAGTCCTGGCCTCTGATGTTATCCACGCCCAGTCCAAGGACCTGCCACGCATCTTCAGGGTAAGTGCCGGGGGCGGGATGGGCCAGACCACCGTCCACTGTCAGGTTGACCCCTTCTACCGACTTTTCTCCATCTCCATGGCTGACCCCTGACCCCTTCATCCCGGCCCCTCCTCTCCGTGCACCCACATTCCGTCCTGGAGGGCAGGGTTTTCCATACGGGAAGCTGGCTGTCCTGCCTTGTTAGGACTCACCTGTGGCTCCCCGTCACCCTCAGCGTGCTCCTGCCGTGGCCTCGAGGCCCTACATTTCTGACACTGCAGGCCTTCCCCGCCTCTCCCTGGGGTCTCTCTGCTCTGACCACACCTGGCTTTCTCCACTTTTGGAGTGCCCTGCACTCTGGACCCCTTCACCTCTGCTCCCTCTGCCAGTCCCTCCCCCACCTCTGCCAGTCCCGGGACCGCCTCTTCCCCTGGGAGGTCACCTCCCCGCCCCCCCCTCACCTGTATCCCCACGGTGCCCGCCAATCCCCTCCCACAGCACCGGGCAGGGCTCTGCAGTTGTCCCTGTGCTTGTCTGACGCCCCTGCCTCGCTCATCACCTGCTCTAAGCAGCACCTAGCTCTGCGCCCGGCAAGCTCACGTCTGTGTTAATTAGCATCATCTGCTGCACAGAGAGAAGGGAGGAAGGACAACTGGCCCTCGGCCCGCAGCCCTCCAGCCTGGGTCTCTGCCCATAGGTGACAGCCTCCCAGCTGACGGTGCCGCCCGTCACGTGTACTGTGCTGCTGCTGGCGGAGAGCGAGGGGGAGCGGGAGCGCTGGTTGCAGGTGCTGGGCGAGCTGCAGCGGCTGCTGCTGGACACCCGGCCCCGGCCCCGGCCTGTGCACACCCTCAAGGAGGCCTACGACAACGGGCTACCCCTGCTGTTGCACACGCTCTGCGCTGCCATCATCGGTGAGCTTCATGCCAGGGGCCGCGGTCTGTTCCGGGCAGGCTGGGGGAGCCGTTAGGGCCTGTAGGGACAGTGCTGGCCCAGCCACAGTCATGAGGGTCACTGCCACTGCCCAGTCCCTGCAGCTATGAGATGTGGGCTCCACCCACCACACGAATCCCCGACCGTTCCCTCAGCATGGCTGTGTGAGGAGCCCAGGCTGGGGCAGGAGCCTGGCTTCTGCCGCTCAACTTCTCTGGGCCTCCATCTGCTTTTTCTAGAAGAATCTCAGGCGAGTGAACAGAGGAAAGGCTTTTTGTTGTTGTTGTTGTTGTTTTAAATATATTTTATTGATTTTTTACAGAGAGGAAGGGAGAGAGATCGTTAGAAACATCGATCAGCTGCCTCCTGCACATCTCCCACTGGGGATGTGCCTGCAACCAAGGTACATGCCCTTGACTGCAATCAAACCTGGGACCTTCCAGTCTGCAGGCCAACACTCTATCCACTGAGCCAAACCAGTCAGGGCTAGAGCAAAGGTTTTAATAGGAAATAAACCAGGTGTTTTGCTCTCAGCTCTCTGAACTAGCAGCTGGGTGACCTGAGCCTCACACCGTCTCCCATGAGGCTGCTGGGCCGGCAAGGAGCCTGGGGCCTCCGTGACAGACAGCTGGGGGAGAGGCGCTTGCAGTGCTCCCAGTAGCCTGGGCCTTGTGTGGTCCGCCAGGTCCGTTGTGTCAGTCAGGAGTCAGGGCAAAGGGGCATTTATTGAGCAAGGATTGCCATGAGCTTCACACTTACCTGCATTGCTTCATCTCCAGTCTCACAGCAGCTGAGTGAGGAAGGTACCATTATTGTCCCCACTTTATTTTATTTTTTTTATTGTCCCCACTTTACATTAGGGGAAACCGAATCTCCAAGACTTACCCAAAATCCCGCAGCTTGAGCTGGAGGGCCTGTCACCCATCCCTGCCCCCACAGCCTTTACCATTAGAGCCATCTGGACGCTGGGACAGAAGGGTTCGCTGGCACAGGGACAGGGCGAAACAGGCACAGCAAGGGCAGGTGGACTGCCCGGGCTCTGCCTCTGAACAGGCCCAACAACGGCTTGCTCTGGGCACCGAGGAGGGGCTGTTTGTGATCCACCTGCACAGCAATGGTACATGCCAAGCTGGGCCAGGCTGGTGTGGGCGGGGCTCGCCCCAGGGCACAGGAGGATGGGCACCGAGCTGCTTCTCACCCGCCTGATGGTGACACTCTCTTACCGACTCCACAGATATCTTCCAGGTGGGCGAGTGCCGGCGGGTGCAGCGGCTGGCTGTGAGCCCCACTGCGGGCCTTCTGGCAGCACTGTGTGGCCGAGGCCCCAGCGTGCGCCTCTTCCCCCTGGCTGAGCTGGAGAACGCAGAGGTGTCAGGTGCCAAGATCCCTGAGTCTCGAGGCTGCCAGGTGCTGGCAGCCGGGAGCATCCTGCAGGCCCGCACCCCTGTGCTCTGTGTAGCTGTCAAGCGCCAAGTGCTCTGCTACCAGCTGGGCCCAGGCCCGGGACCCTGGCACCACCGCATCCGTGAGCTGCAGGCACCAGCACCTGTGCAGAGCCTGGAGCTGCTGGGCGACCGGCTGTGTGTGGGCGCAGCTGGTGCCTTCTCGCTCTACCCGCTGCTCAATGAGGCTGCGCCCTTAGCCTTGGGGGGCAATCTGATGCCTGAGGAGCTGCCGCCATCGAGAGGGGGCCTGGGCGAGGCGCTGGGTGCCGTGGAGCTCAGCCTTAGTGAGTTCTTGCTGCTCTTCACCACGGCTGGGGTCTACGTGGACAGCGCCGGCCGCAAGTCTCGCATCCATGAACTGCTGTGGCCAACACTGCCCACAGGCTGGGGTAAGGCCATCGGTCAGCCGGACTGGCCCCTGGGGCCGGCTTGGGGCGGGACAGGGCCAGGCACCTGAGGTGTATCGCATGCATCAGAGGAAGACAGGTCCTGCCCAAACACCTGAGCTGGCATCGGAAGCCAGTGTGCACCCTCCTGCCTGACCATGCCCAGCTCTGCCCTCAGCGCCTCAGAGAGGATCGTCCTCTTCCATGCCTTAGATCACATCTGCCCCTGCCTGAACTGCTCTTCTTTTTGTACCTGGCAAACTCTGAAGTAATCCAGCCCAGGGCCTGCTCAGGCCCCCATAAGTGACCGCCATGGTTGCTGTCATTGTCATTGTTTCCATGTTCCCTTCCCCACTCTTCCTCATCATGGGTCCTTGGCTCCTTTTTACTCCCCCACCTCTTTGTTTGACCTCTGCCCTGGCTCTTAGCACCCTCTGGTAATGACTGTTCTGGTGCACTGGGGGCTTGCACATCAGCTGGGCTGGTTTCTTCATCACATCCAGCACCCACCCCTGACAAGCACACTCCAGGTTCTAGGACTATTTGGAGGAATGAATGAATGAGTGGGGCAGTGGGGAGTTTGGCACATTCACAGGTGACTGGTGTAATGGCGTATGGGCTGAAAGAGGGACAGAGCTTCCTTCATGAGCAATGGCTCTTCTGGGGTGGGGCCTGTGGGTTGGGTGTAGCACAGACTTTCAACAGGTAGGCGTTGGACCCAGACAGCCTGGGGCCGATTCCCAGCTCTCACTCACCACTGGGTGACCTTGCCCATTGCTTAGCTCTGAGGTTTCTGATCCCTCCTCTGTAAGCGAAGGGTTGTTTGAGAATTAAAGGAGAAAAAATAGGCAAAGTGGTTAGAAGTATGCCTGGCATGGCAGAGAGTGGCACTCCGAGATCGTTATCTCTGGTTTGTTATGGAAGCTGGGTGGGGCCCCCTGGAAAGTCTTCAGAAGGGCTTTTGGTGGGAATGAAAGTGCTGCACTCTGCTCTGGCAGGGCACAGGGTGTTCCCGTGGTGCCGAGGAGGCAACAAGCCCCGAGAGGTGCCCGACTTGCTCAGGGCTGCACAGCACAAGCAGTTTCTACCCCGCAGGTTACGCAGCCCCCTACCTGACGGTGTTCAGTGAGAACTCCATCGACGTGTTTGATGTGAGGAAAGCAGAATGGGTCCAGACGGTGCCGCTCAAGAAGGTGAGGGCCTGCCAAGACCCCTGGGGCAGCCGGGAGGCCAGGGCGCACGGTGTGACCTCTGTGCCTGTTGCCTCAGGTGCGACCCCTGAACCCAGAGGGCTCCCTGTTCCTCTATGGCGCCGAGAAGATCCGCCTGACCTACCTCAGGAACCGTCTGGCAGGTGAGGGAGGGTGTTTGCTTGTGTTTGTGGGTACACAGGTGTGCGTTCACCTGTGAGCACGTGGGGGTGAAGGACTCAGCGCCCGTGGAAGGGGGCCCTGGGGACTCGTGAGCACTGCCCAGCTCTCCGCTTCTCCCACAGAGAAGGACGAGTTCAACATCCCCGACCTCACTGACAACAGCCGGCGCCAGCTGGTCCGCACCAAGAGCAAACGCCGCCTTTTTTTCCGGGTGTCGGACGAGCAGCGACTGCAGCAGCGCAGGTGCGCGCGTGATGCAATGGCTGGGCGGGGCCTCCAGCCCTTGGGGGCGGGGAGAAGCAAAGGCCCGCCCCGGGGGGCGGGGAGTCACCCCCGGGAGAGGGGGTCCCGGGGCGGGAGCGAGTGGGAGCTGGCGCCTCTGCCTACCCCCTCTCTAAGTCACTTTTGCCCGCAGGGAGATGCTGAAGGACCCCTTCGTGCGCTCCAAGCTCATCTCACCGCCCACCAACTTCAACCACCTGGTACACGTGGGCTTTACGGACAGGAAACCCAGCGCCAGGGACCCGCCCCCGGTGAGTCCAGAGCCAATCACAGACCTCCTTGGTGAGGCTGAGCCAATCAGCGCTTCTCAGGTGCACTCGCTGCTGCCCTCGGCTCACCTGGTACCCGGCGCTCAGCTCCGCCAGGCTGTCGGACCGCTGGGGTTCAGTGTCACGGTCTATTGTGCCGCTGAGTCCCACCCCCGCACCGCCCCCCTACAGGCTCCTGAAGGGAAGGGCCGAGGTGCCCGCAGCTCCGTCCCGCAGCGGCCCCACAGCTTCTCCGAGGCCTCACGGCGCCCAGCCTCCATGGGCAGCGATGGGAACGCGGACCCCAGTAAGAACAGCCCCACAACTCCCTGCACCCCCACACTCCTCCCGCAGTTTCCACCCCCTTCCGCCCCCTCCAATCTGACCTTGTGTTTTTGTCCCCCCACCCTGTTCCGGGAACAGTGAAGAAGAAGCCGTGGACATCCCTGTCCAGCGAGTCCGTATCCTGCCCGCAGGGATCTCTGAGCCCCGCAGGCTCCCAGATACAGGTGAGCCCGTGGGAGCGTTTCCCTCCGAATACAGGCAGTTCTTCTGGGACCTGAGGCCAGAGAATAAGCCCAGTCCTTCCTCCCAGGACCCTAAGAGATGCAGACCGTTACCTGTCCCACCCCACAGTGGGCCTGCGGAAGCCTGGAGGTGGGGATCGTGGCTCTGACTGTCCCCGCAGTGTGGCCCCCAGAAGGTGCCTGGCCTCCCCCAGCTTGTCTTGCCTGAAAATGAGGTTATTGTGAGGCAGTGTGAGGCGATGACACCTCCGCACGGTGCTCCGCACGTGGGGCAGTGCCACAGAGGGGCACCTCTTGGGATTCTTAACAGAGGCCCAGCCCATGGCAGAGGGCAGCTCACTCTGGCTGGAGATGGGGTTCCTACTCATCCTCCAGCCTCCTCTCCAACTGTCACCCCCATCACCACCCCCAGCCACACGAGGCCACTCAGAGCCCTGGGCCTTGCCCTGTGCGGTCACACCTTCAAGCTCTCGCCCCTGCTCTCCCCCTCCTTTGGACGCCCTTTCTTGTCCTCACCCCGATTAATGGATTAATGCCAGGCCACCCTCCAGGCTCTGCACCAATGTCACCTTTTCCAGAGACCACCTGACTACCTGGGCAGGTGTCCCTGCCCCTCTGGGGCTGGTGCCACCCGTGGTGCCCGCCGCCGGCCCATTCCTTGTCAGTCCGCTGTGCTTTGGTTTTTGTCTGGGTGCCAGTTCTCCCTCGACTGTGGGCCCCTTGATGGCGGAGATCAAGTTTGTCTTCTGTCCAAAGGAAAGCATGTCCGTTGATTGAGTGAAGCATAGAGTGAGTGAACAAAGACGTTAATTTGGACGCCAGGATTAGGTGCGAGTTCCCCAGTTCTTCTCACGTAACCCCACCCCCAACTCACATCAGCCTCCTCTGAGGGCCCTGCTGCAGCCGGTGCTGGGTCCTGGGAAGGCCCCAGAGGCCCCGGCTCGGCGTGAAAAGAGCCCTTTCCTTTTCCACCCTGACTTCCTTCTCTTTCCCCTCTAGGTCTCAGAGCGGCCGCGGAGCCTCCCCCCCGCCCCTGAATCAGAGAGCTCCCCTTGACACCCTCTGGCAGGGCCCACCCGAACCCCAGGGCTGAGATGTGAGGGAGCAAAGAGCTGAGGAGTGCCACGCTCCGGCTGGTCCGGGGCCTGTGGAGATTCGGACTCAGGGAGAGCCTGGGCTGGGGAGCCCCTGGGAGGCTGAGTCCCCGGGACCTGGGACCCGACTCCCAGCCCTCATCCCGCCTTCTCCTCTACCCCCAGCCCATCCTGTGCGAGCCACTGGGAACAGAATGGTCCCCCTTCCGCTGTGGGCCGGGGGCTCTTCTGTCCTGGTGTCCAGGGGTGATTGTGCCAAAGCCCTCGTTTCCAGTGCCAAGCCGCGGGGTTTGGAAGAGTCAGGGACGGAGAAGGGCCAGGCCCCTGGCAGCAGACTCAGGTCTGGGCTGTGCACTGTCCAGCCCCCAGGAGGCCAGGTTGGGGCATATCCCATCCCAGTCTCTGCTCAGGGACCGGCGAGAAGGACAGGCTCTGAGCCAGAGGAAAAAAGCGAGAGAAGCAGGGGGCAGGATGTAGGTGAAGGAAGTGAGAGGCAAGTAGGGAGAGAGGAGGTGATAGTGATTAGAAGGAGGGAAAAGCCATGCAGAGGAGAGAGGGATAAAGGAAGATGGATGAACAAGAGAGACAAGGGGAGAGGGAATTGGGGGAACGCACCCACGGGTCCTTTCTCTGGGGAGGAGCTGGTGGGGTTGGGAACAGGGAGAGGCTCAGTAAGCCAACTGACATTGTCATCTAATCCGTCCGGAGAAGAGAACTTCTAAGCAGGGATGGGACGGGGAGGGTATTTATATGGGCTACCTGGTGGGAGATGGGCGCCCGACCGGTCCACTGGCGGGTCTCCAGGCACACTTTGGCCCTTCCCCAAAAAGGGGGCTCCTTTTTCTCAAAGCTTCGACCAGCTGTGTATTAGGGGATCATAGGGGACATTTTATTATTGAGCACAGTCATTATTATTATTATTATATTACTATTTTTATTAAACCTCCCCCTGCTGATGAGTGAGGGGCAAAGTAAGTATTTATCTCCTCAAATGCCCTATTCCCGGGAGGGGTCGACCCTGATGCTCTGCGTGGCAGGAAGGAAACAATAAAGACAACTTTGTAAGTTGCTGGCCTGGCCGCCTGGGTGTGTCTTCCTGGGGTTCAGAAAACGGGGAGGGGGGGGGGAGGACCAGAAATGGAGGAGGAGGAGGGAGGGTATCAAAGCAAGTTAAAGACCAAGTTGTCTTCCCTGTATTTTCAGGAATCAGGTGACACATTCAATGGGAGTAAATGAAAGTGTTTATAACAAAGGGATGGTAGCAGTAAGGAAACCCATGGGGCAGTGGGAGTGCCCCAGACCCCAAGTAGCAGGAACAGGCAGTGGTGCTCCCTGAGAAGAGCTGTGGCTCTCAGGAGAAGAACTTGGCCGTGGCTGAGCAGGAAGGCACCCCAGGAAATAAATTCCTCCTCCCTCGCTAGAGCTTCGTTTTACTGCAGGTCCTAGAAGGTAGCCTTAGGGCCTCTGAGTGTGCGGCTGCTGAGAGCAGGGAGGAGGAGGGGTCTCACTTGTACTGTGACTGGGCAAGACCCTGGTGAGGCAGAGCGGGATGAGGAGGGAGGGGGAGACCTGGGCCTGGGATCAGGGCAGGCCTGGGGGACTGGCAGGGCTCATGGCAGGCTCTACAGCTACAAGTACCAAGGCCCAGGTGTCATGTTGGGTTGGTGATAGGGGTTGGGGGTGCCCATGGAATTCCAGGGCCTGGGTATGAGCCCAACCCCGAGAGTCAGACAGCCTGGATTCTCGTCTAGCTGTGCAGTCATGAGCAAGTTACCTGGCCTCTCTAAGCCCCAGTTTCCCCTTTGGCAAGTGGGCATCATAAAGCCCATCTCATGGGTGGTACCATTGAGATTTGGTGAGATGAGTGTAAAACGCCTTTGTCCCACTCAAGAAATGTCTGTTCTCTTAAGATGCGAGGGCCCAGGGAATCTGAGGCCCCTTGCAAACTAAGACCTCCAATCATCTGCCCTAGCACCCAGCAATAATTTAGTCAAAAGATTTTCATATTTTGTAAGAATTTTCTTCAGCCCTAACCAGTTTGGCTCAGTGGATGGAGCGTCGGCCTGCGGACTGAAGGGTCCCCGGTTCAATTCCGGTCAAGGGCTTGTACCTTGGTGTGGGCACATCCTCAGTAGGGGGTGTGCAGGAGGCAGCTGGTTGATGTTTCTCTCTCATCGATGTTTCTAACTCTCTATCCCTCTCCCTTCCTCTCTGTAAAAAAATCAATAAAATAAAATGAATTCATTTCCTTCAAGCATTTTATGTTAACTAATCTCAACCCTACAGAAAGAATACGAACTCCCTGTACTATTCACCTAGATTCACCCATTGTTAACATTACGCTGCGTTTGTTTT